TGAGATAAAACAATAACCAGGAGGAGCACCAAAAATAAAATTCCCTCCCCCTCAGAAGCGATCTCTTGAGGTTGGGATGGAGAGACACCAGTAGAGCAAGGTGGGTGAAGCTGTTCCTCAGCTGACTGTAACAAACCAGTTCTGGGGGAGAACCAGAAGGTTTAGGTTTTGATGCAACCAAACATGTAAGCACATTTTTATGTTCTCCTGACATAACCTCTTGACAGCACCAAGTTTCTTGCTGAATAACGTTGGAAGTCAGGTGCATCTGACTTCAGGCCGATGCAGTTAGGACCTTTTGCAGACTGCGAGCTGCTCCTCGCCCTGAGGATAGCAGTAGAAATACTTCACCTTGATAAATGCCGAAGTGTTTCTTAAATTTGGCAGTGTTTTGAAGACGTCTTAGATTTTGTACTAACAAGTTGTTCAACTGTTTAGATAATTCAGAAAGGAATTTTCTGTTAATAGGTTTTTTAACCTGGATGGCTTGGGGAGTAGCTTGACGTTTTCCTTGGGAGTTTGGCGATATCATAAACCACAGGCTTTGCTGTCATGGTCTATGGAATTGTTATGGGACCAATCAAAGAAATTATTACACCATATAGCTGTTTAGAGGCTGTGGACTCAGCTGTGTAACCAAAAAAGGCAGAAAAAGATTCAACAAAAAAAAATCTAGTCTGATAAATAAGAATGGAAAATTACAATTTATTTTTTTTTTAATACAGGGAACCTTTAGCCGTGTCAGATGTGTACATTTGGAAGTGTTGATGTAAAATGTATTTCTTCTCTGATAGCACATGTTTTTGAATTCTCTGAAATGTTTCAAGCAAAGCTGCGCTTTAAGATACAGGATTTTTGAAGTGGTGCCTGGATACTCAGATATGTGTTTTGTTTTATAGTACTGGCCATGTCTTCCTGGGTTTCTTAGTTGCGGCGAATGATTTTGGCAGTTAAAAGAAAGTTTGTAAGGACAAATAACCAAAACTTGAATTTGTGTATGTACAAATAAATAACAATGCTAATCTAGATAAATGATGTAGACTGTTTAATAAAAATGTTTACCCTCCGTTTCTTGGGCTTGGTCTGTTATGTATAAAGTTGCAATCAAACCTTTGAATCACTCTGTAGGTTCTTCAACAGGTTGAGAGCTGGTAGAAAAATGAAATAACACTTCTCTGTGCTGGAAGGCATCTGAACAGCTCTGCATAAGGATCAGCTTCAGCTGGTGGTGCTCCCAGTTTTATACGTGTCACACAGAAGATGTAAGAGCTTAGATACAATTTGCAGCTATGATTACTGTGAATAGGAAGACCAAAGTCCTTAGTTTGTTTTTCTGAAGCACTAAACGCTAGCTTGAAAAACTGAGATCCACCTCTGGGGTCTTGATTCCAAAACAAGCTGAAGACTTGTTGCCGGGCTTTGCCTTCCTGGCTGTTTGCAGTCTGAGCCTGGCTTGCTTAGTGCTGTGAAATGAATGCGAGTGTGTGACAAGACTAACTGTACCTGCTGCTGAAAGACAAGTCCTAAATCAGCACGAAGGAACTATTTACTCTTCTTTGGAAGGGATTAATTTGGAACAGGTTTCCACACAAAGCTTATGCCATTCTGAACGTCCATATCTGTTCTGTGACTTCAGTTGCACTTTGAAATTAATATCCATCCACACTGTGCATGCTTTTAATCTGGTAGTTTTGTGTTACCTATATTGTCTCAGTCTTCTCGTGCTGTAAAGAAGGTGGCTGTTTGATAGGAAAGGTGTTAGACTGGTGTTTCTGACAATTTGTGTAGAGCTTTTTTAGCTGTCCTGTTTTCAAAATCTATGCTGCTTATATCACCAACACCAATGTAATCAATAAAACATTTTTTAAAACTATGATGTTGGACGTTCACAAGTGAAACAGCCTCAGAGGTCTGCCCTCAGAGGTCTCAATGACAAATCCCCTGTTCATACTGTCATACTTTGAACGCACTAAAATTAATTTGTGGCTTTCAGAGCTGCCTGTTTGTCTACTGGTACTGCACTGATTTGGTGGAACTAAATTTCATCATTTAAGCATCTGATATATGGTGATTAGCGCTGTATTAAAGCCACAAACCCAGACTAGGGGTGGCAAGGAAATGTCCAGGTTAAGCGAGAGGTCCTCGCCTGACCTCTCCCACCCCGACTTTGGTCACATTCCTATGGGGCGCTCCAGCACTTTCTGCCTCCTCCCTTTCTGTTGAACATTACCCCGTGGAAACTCATCCTCCGTAATTTTTCTCCTCCCTTTGAGTGCTTATCTCTTTGGTTAAAATGCCAATCCAACCTAAATTAACTAGTGAAATTTTACCTGATATTTTCCCTAACGTTTATATTGAAATTGAATTAGAATGCAGAGCCAGTCGAACAAACACATTCCTAATTCATTATGAAACACACTTAAAGATGGTTGTATCAAATTACATGTAATTCCATGCAAACTGACCGATTCAAAGGGAAGAAATAAAAGCAAACATCTAACCCCCCCTTCTATTATGCTATTGAAAGAAAAATGTGCTGTTTAAAAAAAGCTGAAGAACTAATTACCATTAAATAAGATGCAGTAGCAGTATTTTTAGAATAATGGACTCTAATTAGTCCATTTCTCGTTGAAATAAATCTGAGGACATCATTAACACATCTTATTCTAGTAATTGTAGCTGCTCTGGGTTTGGTGTAAGTGGGCTGTTATCTCGTGACAGTTGCATTGCAAAGAAGAAGAAAAAAATAAAAAAAAAAGTATTTTTATCTAGGGTGGTTGGCTGCACATCTTCTGGGAGCCAAAGGGGAGCGGTAATTACAGTTTTTGAAAGAGAAATTTGGGCGTTATAAGGAAGCCGCTGGTTCGGGGGCGCGGGGAAGGGGGTGTTTGGGCCCGCCGGCGCCAGGCCCCGCTCCGCGGAGGC